CCCTTGGCTGAGGATATGAGTAGAAAGTCGTCAAAACTCTTGAGACAATTTATTTGGCCATAAGTTGTGTTCCATTTATACAGGAATTGGGCACTGATTTGATGGTCGGCCGCGACAGTGATGTCCCAAAAGGTAATCAAACCGTTCTTTGAGGCCATAAATAGCATACAATTAACGCATGAATTGTCGGAACCGTTTGTCTCGAGCCAACTCTGGGCCCAACAGAAGGCATTTGTGGCCAAACTATGCATCCGTTCCCTATATATCTGGAAGTTAGGTCTCGAGATGTCTGTCCACTTCTCCTTCAGCTTCTCGTTTAGCAAAACCGACAAATCAATAGTCAGTTCCCAGTCGTCTATGGTCTTGTGGTAGACGACTAATCGGTGGTCAACAGTGAGAGCACCCAAAAGGCAGCCAAAGTTTCGCTGAAGTGGTGACCACTCGACGCGACGATAACTCAGAAAAGTGGATGAATTGGCGGTTTCGGTGGCCATCGATGGGTCCAACATCAGGATCTGCTGCTCGTCCAAAGAGCTCGTCCTCAGCACTTGTCGCACATCTATCCCGCAGTCATAAGACAACACTTGTTTGGGGTTAAGAATGACTGACTTGTGGTACGGGAAGTGTTGTGTCCACTCGTTTGGATCAGTTCTGGAGCTCAACAAATAGATGTACTTATCGACCAAAACGGCGATACAATTGCTTTGAGACCACTTCACGGATGAGGTGTTCAACACATGACCAGATGTGGTGACACTTGTGATCACACTTTTGGACATATTTTTGCGGTCATCGGCGGCACACAAGACACGGATTGTCACCGAAAACGGATCAATGAATCGTTGATTTAGTGATACTTTTCATTCAAATTGTGGCCAAAAATGACAACAATTTTGACATAAATTACGTGAAAACGAGTGAAACGTTGAGTCGTTTTGTTGTGTTTTTGTAAACAAGTGGTGAAGACATCGGAAGACATCAATGAAAGTGATGGCCATTACTGTGGACACCAACGATACGCCACAAGAGGAGCGCGACTGCAGCCAAGTGTCCACTTCTGAAGTGACCACAAATCACATGATGGACGCCATCGACGACAGCGACAGTGATTTCGACGACAACGCCAGCGATGACCCAAATGACAGATATTATGAACTGCTGTCCACTCAGGACCTGATGGACGGCTCGACGCAAGCGACCACTTATTATCCGCACAATTACACCGTTGAATGGGTTGATTGGGATCAATACGAACAAACTCTTGAGCAACAGTCCAGTGATGACACCAATACCCACACGAATTACACGCCGAGTGACAGTTCCGGGCCATCGACTGACACACCCACTGAAGCATCGATTAGTGAGACAACAACTGGTCCTCCGAGTGATCGTCAGATATCTCTAAGCGATGGTAAGGTTTGAGTGAACTATTGGTGAGACTATTATAGCATTTATTGTATGGATTGTCTGACAGATCGGATCCATCAAATCAAAAGTCTTATGTCTGGCTTTGAGATACCCAAAGACCACATCCCTGTCTGGGCTCAGGAGGTGCCCGAAGACAACTGGAAGGCTTTCCTTTTACCCAAATTACAGGACAAA